CCGGCTTCAAGGCTTTGTGGTGAAGACACCAAGATTCAAGGAGTATCACAAGTTTGCTTCTTCTATATAAAAAGAAGATCGGTTCTTCGGGAGAGGGGCTTAAACAGATCTCGGGAGGAGATCGATCCGCCGACTGAGGGATTCAGCGTTGAAGGGAGTTCAGCCGTGCGGAGCAAGGGACGTGCTGCAAATTGAAGATTTATAATTCAGCGTAGTATACAAGAACGGCGTCAACAAAGAGGGAGTCTTTGTATTTTGATTAAGTCCTATTATTGTATTCGTAAAACTAAAAATTAGTAAATTTCATTTGCAGGTCCCCGTGGATGTAGGGTACAATTGTATCCGAACCACATTAAAATTTGTGTCTCGTTTATTTCTGTTTTTACGAACTGCTTCACGAACTGTTGCAACACATCACGCAACAGTAACGAAAAACTGAATCTGACACAAATAATTTATATCTGCACGAAATAAATTCTAACAAAATCATTTATAAAAAAATTAATGAAACTTGACACAATACATTTTTATATGTCTTAAACAGTTTTTTGAATAGTTCGCTTATAGATAAAAATTTACAATTCAATCATTGGTCAATCATAAACAATGGGAAACAAATTTTGTAAAAACTTGCACCATACTTCAAATTGTCCAAAACACATACAAAATTGAGGAAAAGTAGTAAACCAAGTTAATTCTTATTACTGAAAAAAAAATTATTCTATATGTCAAAAGGTTAAAAAAAAAAAAAAAGAAGGTTATTATAGGGTTTTTTTTGCAAAATCTACCCTTGTGTAATCTCTAATTTCTAAAAATCCCATCGTGTAAAAAAATTAGCAAAGACTCCCTTATGAAAATAAGTCAAAGCCAAAAAAAAAAAACCCTAACAGCCCAACGTACAATGTACGAGCGAATAGTGCGAGTAGGAGTGTGTATTTTTACTTGAAAACTCGAAAATACCCTCTAATTTTTTTGTAAAAGAAAAAAAAATTCCAATTTGATTTAAATATAAATAATCCAAAACTTTGGATCAAATTGCAATTTCTAAAATTTCTTAAATAAAAAAAATAAAAGATTTTTTTATTAAAAGAAGAGAGAGAAAATTGCTCTTCCCCAAAATTTCTTCGGGGTATCACTAGGCCAAAATGCAAGACTGGCGACGTTTTTTTTCCCGACGGTTATGTGTTCGTCGCCTACTTACGATGTTTCAGAGCTACAATCGTCGCTGAAAGTGGAAAACCCAGGTTTAGTTCAAAACCCTAGCGACGATTCCGCGTAATCATCGCTAGTTCGCGACGCAACAGATATAAACGTCGCATGTATGAAAAAAAAATTTAAAAATAATTATTTGGCGACTAAAAATATATTTCGTCGCACGATTTACATATTTTGGGATTTTATATTTCAAGCCCGGTCCTCGATTTCCCAATCTCGTTCCAAAATTAGGAATGTATCACAAGTTGTCTTCCCAATCCAAGAACGCCGTGTGTGATGTTATAGCAAATGTTAAGGTTCCTATCGGCTATGCATCTAATATAGCTCGTTGTTTTGGTGAAGACAAAATAAGGGGATTAAAAAGCCATGACTACCACGTACTAAGGCAACAGTTGCTTCCATTGGCAATCCGTAACGTGGACTTACCAAAAAAGTTGGCTAGTACCATAATCCAGTTGTGCAGTTTTTTTCGAGAATTGTGTTCCAAAACTAACTCAGCTGAAGATTTTCGAAAACTGCACTCCGATATTGTGAAAATTTTGTGTGATCTTGAGAAATTGTTTCCTCCAGCATTCTTTGTTGTTATGATGCATTTGTCGGTTCATCTAGCTCATGAAGCAATGGTTGCTGGACCGGTGAATTATAGATGGAAATCTAATTTCTTTACGTAAATTATTGAAATAGTTATATATTTTTTTAATAAATATTTATTTTAATTTTAGATACTTGGGTCACTTAAAGTCATTTGTGCGAAATAAAAAGTGCCCCCAGGGTTCAATTGTTGAATGCTACATCACTGAGGAGTGCTTAAACTTTTGTTCATTCTACACAGAAAGTTCATCTATGAACATTTCTGTCGATGATAGACAAGGCAATGAAGTGCGATCTAAGTACAGAACCCTTACTTATGATGAAATGGAAAAGGCGCACAACTATTGTCTTTTTAACTCTAATGAAATTCAACCGTACATTGAGTAAGTTACTTATAAAATCTTTAAGCTACTACTATTTTCATTTGATTTTCATCCAATAAAAAACACAAATTATTTTAGGGAGCACTTCGAGACCGTTAAGAACAAAATCTCGACATGTGACCCTGCTTACCAATGGCGCATTCAACAATTACAAGACAAAGAATTTCGTCATTGGTTCCAATCCTACGTAAGTGTTTGATTTAACGTGAACTTAGTTTGTAAATGTTTTTAAAACGTAAAAATGAATAATTGGTGACTACATAGGTGCAAGGAAAGAGTGAACTGAGAGACGATATCAAAGCTTTAGCTTGTTCTCCTCAATTTAGAGTGAAGACTTTCAAGAGATTTGAAGTGCAAGGGTTTATGTTCTGCACAAAGTCATCTAAAGAGTCTCTTTCAACTCAAAACAGTGGTGTTTTTTGTCAAAGCAAAGACAACTACTTTCGTGAACTCCAAGGATAAATCTCCGAAAGAAGAAGACGTAGGGTACTATGGCGTAATAAAAGATATTATTGAACTTTCATTCGCCGTAGGTACAAAGAGGGTAGTTTTATTCGAATGTGATTGGGCTAATATTCGCATGAACAAGACGGACGGTTTGGGCTTTACACTTGTGAACTTAAGCACAAGAAAGATTGGGACAATTTTGATCCGTCTATTTCATGGCCTAAGCACAAGAAAGTGAGTCGTGTCGAAGGATTGTGGAAAGCATTTAAGGAATTTGAAAGTTCAAATTATTTTATTTATTTCAGTTATTATAATTATTTTGTTATTAATTAATTATGGAATTTTTTGTATGCCTTTTAGGGAACGTGAAACTTCCTGAAAATGAGGCTACGAAGAAATGGTTCAACGAGACGGCCAATTGTCGTTGGAAAGATGCAAAAAATAAAAGATTGAAGGCGGTTTTTGATAAAGCGCCTAACCTTGCAGCTGCTAAGGCAAATCGTCTGAATAGGATTAGCGCTCAAACTTGGGAGAGGCTATGTGATCAGTTTCATTCTATTTCTACTCCGGGGGATGATGGGAAGGTAAATTTTATGCTTTTAATTTATGATTATATTTTCATATATTTATGTGTATTAATTTGTGCAATATTTTTCACAGTCCAAGTCCACTAAATGCAAGGACTCGAGAAAGAAAGTGTCGACAGACCACCATTGGGGTCGAACAAGTATCAATTGTTGGTCCTATAATCATGTAAGTGGCTTAATCTATAATTTTAATTTATTTAAGTTTATATAAAATACCTACTTATTGTATAATCTATTTTTTAGCTTAAAAAGTTTGGCAAAAATCCTACCGTTTTTGATACGTATAAGAAAGCCTACATGGGCATTGATGCGTTGAGGGAAATCGGACCATCTATTAGTGAGAAAGGAGAGACAGAGCCGTATAACGGGACAACAACTCCTGAACAACTTTTCATTTCAGTAAGTAAAGTGTAATTATATTCTTCAATCGGTAGTATGTTAATTCTTTATATGTTTAGTTGGGATATATGGATATGGATGTGAATTTTATCTATGAATATGGATATGCTGTTGTGGTTTATTATATGGATATTTTAGTTTATCATGTTAATTGTTTGATATGTTAATTAAGTACGAAGTTTAGATGTGTGGCTATGGATTTTTTTTTAATATGTCAAGTTGTTGTGTATTGGTAAGTATTTTTTATGGGTATGCTCGTATTTAGATGTTATGCTGTCGAATTTTTGGCTAAACTTTTGTACATAATCATTTTCAGGCTGATTTGGAGCGAGTTTATGATGAGACCGTGCGTGATGGAAGTGACGAAAGCACGGCCAACTCGACTGCAATTGAAAAGGTTTTGGGAAAGAGTAAAGGCCTTGGAATTAAAAGTTCAAGCACAAGGATTGGAAAGTCAAGATTTTCTTCAACACCATCAGACGTAGAGATTCAAATGGAGATTCAAATGAAGGCAATGCAAGAACAAATGCAAATGAAAGACGAATAAGTGAATCGATTGGAACAACAATTGCAGGAAACCCGAGAAACAATGCAAGAACAAAATAAAGTTAAACATGAAAAAGTTGATCGATTAGAAGAGCAATTGCAGGAAACCCGAGGTATTTTGAACACCTTGCTCGAGCGTTTTAATAGTGGAGTATAAAAACGAGATGAAATTAGTGTGCCTCTTGAACTAATACATTTATGGTTTCAAGTTTTTATCTAATTTTTGAATTGTTGTTTGTGTTGTATTTTGATATTTAATTTGTAATCGTGGTTTTTAATATTTTTGAGTAAATATGGTTTTGGTTTTTTTTTTTTTTTTTTTTTTTAACAGCTGATTTTATTTTGTAATAGAAAATAATTAAAATAAATTAATTAATTAAAAAAAAAGTTTGCGACGAAAACAAAATCGTCACAAACAAAAATGAGTACTTGAGACGAAATATAATTCCGTTAACGTCGCCAAATTAATTAAAGCCGGGCGACGAAAACACTATTTAGTCGCTAAAAGATTCAGTCAACTTGCGACGAAATCTGCAATTTCGTAGCAACCACTGGTGACGAATATGCATTATCCGTCGTGAATAATAAAAAAATGATTTTTTTTTTCAGAAAATACGGTTTTAGCGACGAAGTTGTGTTTTCGTCGCCACACTTGGCGTCGCAATTGTATTTTCGTCGCTGACATTGCGACGGGGCGTTTGGCGTCGATTTTTGACTGATTGGGCGACGGAAATAAAACGTTGTTAATCGTGATAAAACATCGCTAGGAGATAGAATTCGTCGCGAGTTTTCGTCGCCAGTCTTGCGTTTTGGCCTAGTGTATGAGCACATCATGAATCGAAAAGAGGCAGTTAAATCATCTTCGGGGTCAAGGGGGTGCAAAATCCCGACTAAAGAACTGACTGAAGGAACGCCTGAATCGAAGCTCAAAGGTCGTGGTCGCGGACGTACTAAATCTACGGAAGAATCGGTTGTAACTGCCACACAACGAGTCAATTTCTTTTCCTTTCTTCCTTCGTTTCTCGCACAATCTATAGCCTCATATGTTAATGTGAGGGCCGATGGTAATTGTGGGTACCGATGCATTGCCGAAATTATTTATGGAAGTCAAGAAATATGGACACAACTAAGAACAGACTTGGTTGCAGAGTTTATGGAGCGTCATCATTTATATGCTGATATGTTTAGTGGAGATGAAGAGGGTTGTAATGCAGTCACTGATCATATTCTGACAAGCAGTCATGAAAGCGGGCATGCGCCACGGACCAAATGGACATCAACATATATGGGACTGGCAATTGCTACGAGATACAACGCAATGGTGCTAATATTCATTGAGTTCGGTAGTTTTACTTATCTACCTCTAGTTGGGAATCCCGCGTTATCAAATATTATTCCTATGTCGTTACATAAATATCATTTCATGATTCTTCGAGTACCGATTTACTGCCCTCTACCTCGTCTCCATCCTCAGTTGAGGTATTACGCAGCTCCCAATTTACTCGCCTTACAAGATTTTTACGCTGATCGACTAGCTTTGTGGATGACGTTAAGTACTAGGCATAGGTAGATTTGGCGTTTTTTTTTTTTTTTTTTTTTTTTTTTTGTATGTTGAACTTTGTTATTGTATTTGGATATTGAACTTATCTATAGTATTTGGATGTTGAACTTTGTTTTTGTATTTGGATGTTGAACTTATCTATGGTATTTGGGTGTTGAACTTGGTTATTGTATTAGAATGTTGAACTTTGTTATTTGGATCACGTGACCAAAACTTCTCTGTTCGTGTGAACTCACGCGAGTAGCGTAATTAGAAAAAAAAAAAAAAACTTACTCGCGTGATTTCACGCGAACAGAAAAGTTTTGGTCTCTTGATTTCACGAGAGCAAAACACCCCTGTTCGCGTGAAATCACGCGAGTAAAACACCCCTGTTCGCGTGAAATCACGCGAGTAAGTTTAAAAGAAAATAAGAATAAATTAAGTCGCATTAAAAAAAAAAGTGTACTCGCGTAGTTTTACGCGAACAGAGAGCTTTTGCTCGCGTAGAATTACACGAGTACATGGTCTCTGTTCGCGTAAAACTACGCGAGCACAAATTTTGTTTTCCAACATATTTAAAATACAAAATAGAAAATAGAGTAATTTCTTGACACAATAAAAATAGAAAATCGAGTAATCATCAAACACAATCAAAATAGAAAATCAACTAATCGTTCAAAACAATACAAAAACAGAAAAACAACTAATTGTTCCACACAATCAAAATAGAAAAATGAGTAACAATCATCCTAGTACAAAACCAATGAAAATGGAAAACAACTGTCATAACCATCCTATTGTCTAACCCTCGATCCCCTACCCCTAGTCCTCAGTCCCCCACGACCCCTTCCCCTCCTGGGTACAAGATGGAGATATTGAGCATGGGGCATCATCAAATCAAGTAATTTTGGTTGGATTGACATAAATTGTTCTGCCGCATCAAGCCCATTCTGTC